ATAATAATATTAACATCAGTGGTAATAATAATAATAATAATAATAATAATGATAATAAAGATAATGATATAGTAATGACAATAATAAAATACTAATAAAAATAATACTAAGAATGGAAAGATGAGTGAATAAACGAACTCGCTAAATGCAAAGTAACAACGAATTTGAATGTGAACGAGAAATCGAACAACGACAAATCGTTATTGATAATCACTGCAAAATCAGCACCATTCGAAGCACTCCTAATGATCGGTAACTCGATCGCTGTATCGTCATCAATTTCATCGATATCACCTCAAAACATTATCAATTCTCGACCAATCACTTCTTGCGAGCAATACAGTAATTGCTTTTCTTGCCTCAATCACACTTTCTTGAACAATCGACCACATTTCCAAAAAAATGATGCCGACGAATTGAGGCTTACTTTCACTTTTTGGCTTTTCATTTCAGTTCTATAGCATTTCTGATTAACCTCAATTTAATTTCTGATTTCAATACTCAGAACACACGCAGTTTTCGCAGGCCATTCAAGTGCCCACACAATCAAGCGATTTTTGCAGGTTGTCAAAACAGATTTTGAGTGAAAGACTCGTTGAATGATTGACTGCGCTCATTTTCATTATCAGATCAACAACGAAAGGAAATCATGACATTTGAATTCAATTATTCTAATCGCATGCAAAAGCCACGCAAGTATACGACTGAATGCTGCAATAAACTTACGAGATTGTTATTGTGAATGAGCAACTGGTATAATATCTCATTTGCAATTGAGAATCTTGCTTTTGAAAATGAAGCAACAGCAAAAATGAAAGCACCTGTAATGGTTGCCATAGTCATCACTTCATACAGACTTGTTGGTGACGAATATTCGGATCGTACACCAAATTTGCGCGTTTCATCCCCTCCATCATTGATTTCAATTTTTGTATATCGAATCACATCCGACATTACTTGACTGATTCAATCGACGTCTCTTAACAGCTTATGAATGAGAAAATGACTGAATACGAAACATAACTATACGATGTCCCCAGGAGGGGAGTTTAGGGAAGTAAAGTCCAAATGTGGACGATGCAAACGATAAAACGAGTACATCCAAGAGATTGGATAAAACAGAGCATTTCTAGGTGTATCTTTCAATGGTGAATCATTTGAAGGCGTAATGATCCTTCTGATCGTGGGCATACTTACTGCTAAACATTACGTTCATATTCAGTGTTGCTAGCACAGTGTAACGACAGTCTTAGAAATANTGAATGTAAGGCTATTTCATTCCTCACACCTTCAATCAATCGTCTTTAAAGATTCCAAGAATTTCAGTGTTAAAACGATCTCGTAGTAAAATAAGAAATAACGAATAATTATGTCACAAGCACAAAAATAACACTGCACGGACTGGATGTGATTATTTCAATCTGAAAATTTCAGTCACATACATGTTTAGATGAATTTCACTATTTTTGATTAACTGATAATTTCACTGATCAGTTCATGCGCCACTAAACCAAAGAAAGATCGGCAGAAGATTAGGTCACACGTGGATCAATTAGCCTCTGTACTGATCAATTCCTTAACTCAAAAAAATAAAAATAATAAAAAACAATCATAAAGACCAATCACATTGTCCGTTAAATCAGATCGTTCTTAAATAATGTTGAATTTCGACCATCACTTATGCAATTCTTTAAAAGTAGATTTGAATCGTTCAATATTCCCCCTTTCAACCTCATAGGTGCGTACGCATTTCGCCATATGCGCGTGTCGGCGGAAGGAGGGCGGACTCACGACCGCGTCGTGCGAGGAGAGATAAGCAGGGAATGAATCGTTCAAGTAAACTTGAAATACAATCTGAATGCTGTCTTTAA